TATCTATCTATACTATATATTAAGCAAAAGGGGGATTTTAACCCCAATCCTTGTGGGAGCTCCAATCTCCTAATCTAAATTTTCTGATTTTTTGATTTTTTTTAAAAAAAAAAACCTTAGCATTTATTAACTTATCTCAACCCCCAAGTCTTACCCTCATAATAACACTTTAATGCATTAAGAACAAGTATAAAAAAAATTCTTTGAAATCCAACACATATGAATTCCTTGAAAAGTCTCAACATATATGATTATTATCCCTCATAATAACATTTTAATGCATTAAGAACAAACATAAAAAAAATTTGAAAAAGTCCAACACATATGATTATTATCAAATTATTAAACTTTAATATAATATAATAAAAAAAGAAGACATTTAATTCCTTGAAAAGTCCAACACATATGATTATTATCAAAATATTAAACTTTAATATAATAAAAAAAAGAAAAAAAGAAGACATTTAAAAAAAAAAAAGAAGTTTAAAAATCACAATTCACATATATAGATAATTGTAAACACAATCCGTGCGTAGCACGGGTGATATGCTAGTTATATATCAAGCAAAAGGGAGTTTTTAACCTCAAGCCTTGTGAAAGCTCCAATCTTCTGATCTAAATTTCCGGATTTTTTTGATTTAAAAAAAAAAAAATCTTAACATTTATTAACTTCTCCCAACTCCCAAGTCTTACCATCATAATAACAGTTTAATGCATTAAGAATAAGCATAAAAAAAAATATTTGAAATCCAACACATAAATTCCTTGAAAAGTCCCAACACATATGATTATTATCTTTCATAATAACACTTTAATGCATTAAGAACAAGCACAAAAAAAATTTCTTAAAAAGTCCAACACATATGATTATTATCAAAATATTAAAGTTTAATATAATATAATAAAAAAAAGACATTTAATTCCTTGAAAAGTCCAACACATATGATTATTATCAAAATATTAAACTTTAATATAATATAAAAAAGGGAAAAAAAAAGACATTAAAAAAAATATTTAAAAATCACAATTCACATATATAGATAATTGTAAACACAATCCGTATATAGCACGGGTGATATGCTAGTACAAAAATCTGCTTCTAAATCTAAAAATGGACACTTCTATTGCATAATAAATTCTTGTATTCATTTTTTACAAGTTGTTATAGACGCCTAAAATATTAAAGAATGCATTCAATTGTCTGGGAAAAAACGAAAGACAATAAATTTTGTTTTCCTCTTTTGTTTGGTGGTTTGTTATTATAGTAAAATGTATTTTTTTATAAATAAAGAAATTATATTAAAGACACATTAAAGAATGCAATCTCTACATCTAAAGAAAGTTATCTTCTCATCTACACATTAAAAAATAAATAAATAAATAATCTATTCAAAAAATTTAAAACATTCAAAACTTGATTTGAAACAATCTTCCAATATATATATATATATACATATTCTATTCAAAAAATTTAAAACATTCAAAACTTGATTTGAAACAATCTTCCAAAATTAATACAAAAGACGCAAAAATCTACTTATAAATCTAAGCACTAAGCCTTCCACTTCCTCTTCCCACCTTAACTACTTGGGTAAATTGCGCTTTGCACTCATGTTTCACCATTTTTCACGAAGACTGTGAGAGTTTAAAAAATAAGTCTTTTTGCATTCCCCATGTAAGATATACACAACATATATAGCAATAAAATCCTTAGAAGAATGGAGAAAGAAGGATGGATTCTAGTATTGAGTCAGAGAGGTAGAAACAGAGGGTGGAGAAAGAAAGATAATGCAAGATTGTTCACGATTTTTGTAGAAGATCTACCCAGATCTATGAACTTGAAGATGATGGGTGACATATTCAGGAAGTTTGGAGTGGTGAAGGGTGTCTACATTCCTCTGAAGAGAAGGAAAGTGAGGAACACTAGATTTGCTTTTGTTCGGTCTGATTGTGAAGTGGCAGCAGAAGTAGCAGTGCAGAAGGCCAATGGGATATGGGTGGGGGATAAGCAATTGGTAGTGAAGCATGCAGACTATGGTAAGAAAGCTAAGGAAGTCAAAACCCGATATCCTCCTCAAACAAAAGGTTTTCCACAGGGTGGAAGGGGCGAATGCAGTGTGTGGAAGCCAGCAGCAGGTGTTCGGACGTATGCAAAGGTCATCAAGAATGGTAATGGTATGGAAAGTGGAAGTGTGTCAGTCTAGGCAGAGGAAATAGGAAATGGGTGGCTTTATGAAAGTGTGGTGGTTCTTCTTAAAGTTGAATATGCCAATGTTAAGCTTAAAACTGAATTATAGAGGAGGGGCATAGAGAATGTACTAGTGAGGGATGGAGAAGGTAGGGATGTGTTGTTAACTTTCAAATCTAAAGAATGTAGGGATGATAGTTTGGGAACTGTGAAGGAGTGGATAGAGGATTGGTGTGAGGATATTGTGTTGTGGAGTCCTGATTTTCACAAAGTGAGGGAACGTAAGGTGTGGGTATGCTGCTTTGGGATCCCATGGAATCTTTGGAATAGAACAACTATAAATAGAATTGGAAATTTATGGGGGGAGGTTATTTGTATTGAAGGTGATGTATGTAACCCAGAATCTTTTGAATATGTAAGGATTCAAATTCTAACAAAGTGTATGGAGCCAATTAATAAAGTCATCAATCTGGAGTGCAAAGGATATTCTCATACTGTGAGAGTGTAGGAACAATTATATGGGTTACCTAAGATTTGGGCAGGGAGGAATGATTGTTCTTTGGAGCATGGTGGGGAAGGAGTTTGTAGCTCAAACAATGGTGAGAAGGTTGGTGTAAGGGTAATGACGATTGATGTGGCTGTAGAAGATGATGACTGGGATGGTGAGTTAGCTCGGGAGCTGGGCCACTCAAAGGAGGTGTGTATTGGGGATGGGTCAGGTAGAGTGAGGTGTAGTGATGAGGTGGAGATGGGGTTACCAAGGCAATTTGAAACAGTGGTGCCAAAGTCTGCAGGTAATGAGCTCGAGGGCAAAACAGATAGCATCATGAAAGTAGCTGGGAGCATAGGCAACAACTGTGAGTTGGTAGATCAGAAAAGTAATGAGCAGGCTGTCACGCAAGGTGCTATCAGAAGTTTGAGTGGCTCTTCTATACTCAAACCGGGGGTCCATTTAGAGGTGGTGTTGGGTTGGAGCAAAGAGGTGGGCCTATGTAATGGGCTTGTGGATATGAGAGAAGGGGTGGAGATGCAAACCCAGGGCTTCAAGGCTGGTCTTCAGAGTGGGCTTAAGGATGGAGTGAGTCATTTAATGATAGGCTCAGACTTATCAGAAACACAGTGCAACGATTTAAGCTCAAGGAAGAAGCACCAGAAGAATAAAGGGAGGAAGATAGTAGTTAGTAAATCTAGTGGATGGAAGATCAAAGAGATGAAGTAGGGGTATCTTTAGCAGCCAAAAAGGTATAGTCACAAAGGAGCTTCCTTGGGTTCGAAAGGAGCTTTATAGAGAGCAGCAATTGCAGCAGCATCTGGTTCATAATCAACTGCAAGTGGAGTAGCTAGAAGTAGATCGCTGCTTAATGAGGCTCAGGGCACTATTCATATGGGAAAATTGCTGGGTGTAAACTACGAAGGTAAAAAAGAGGAAGTGTTGACCAAAATTATGGACCTTGAGGCAGGGGATAGAGCAAGAAGGGGAGGGGATGTAGTTCCTGCGAATTAATTTAGTTTTTGGGGGTTAGAGTTCAGTGTTAATGGTTATGATGAAGCTACTAACATGGAATGTCAAAGGTTTGGGGAAAAAGGAAAAAAGGACTAAAATAAAGAGGATGTTGAAAGTTAGAGGTATTGATGTTGTTCTTCTTCAAGAGACAAAGAAGGCCTCCATGTCAGAAAATGAGATAAAATAGCTTTGGCAAGGGATAGAATGGAATTCATGACTATGGATGCTGAAGGCTCTGCTGGTGGCCTATTATGCATATGGGATCCAAGAGTCTTTCAAGTGTCAAGTTGCTGCTGTAATAGAAGGTTTATACTTCTCTCTGGGTCCTTATTCTTCTCTTTTGATTCTGTCTTGATCAATGTGTATGCACCAAATGAAGTGGGCCAAAGAGGTAAACTGTGGGAGTGCCTTCTTAAGTTAAGGGAGGAGTATTCTAAGCCCTGGTACATAGGGGGGGATTTTAATGAAATTAAAAATATTGGAGAGAGGAAAGGTTGTTCTAGGAGGGAGAATGAGATGAAGGATTTGAATGATTTTGTTGATAGAAGTGAGCTGAATGATTTGCCCTTATTAGGCAGAAGGTTTACATGGTGTAATGCCAGGGAATGAGAGAAATGGAGCAGAATCGATAGGGTTATGGTGGATCCAAAATGGGTGGAAACCTTTAATTTGAAGCTGTGGGGGCTTCCTAGAGTTTTGTCTTATCATAGTCCTTTACTGTTAATGGAAGATAAGAGAGATTGGGGCCCTAGGCCCTTTAGATTTGTTAATGCTTGGACTTTACATCCAAAATTTTTACCTTTTGTGGAAAAGTGGTGGAGGGAGCATCAGGTAGAGGGTTGGGCTGGGTTTAGGTTATTTCAGAAACTAAAAGAGCTGAAAATAGCACTTAAACAGTGGAATAGTGAAGTCTTTGGTAATGTAAATACTAAGTTGAAGAAGGTAGAGGATGAGCTTCATATGAATGATTTGTTAGTAGCGGAAAGAGAGCTTGAAGAGGCAGAAAAAACAAGAAAAAGAGAGGCTAAAGTTGAAGCTGGATGTTTAACAAGAATGGTGGAATGGTTGTGGCTCCAAAAATCGAGGCTCAATTGGAATTTTAATGGTGATAAAAACACAAGATATTTTCATGTGTTAGTAAAGTGTAGGCAGAGGAGAAATGAAATTAATTCTCTAACTGTTGGGGATGTGGTGGTTGATGATCCATGTAGAGTTAAGCTAGAGGCCCTAGCCCATTTTCTAAAGCAGTTTTATGAGGATTGGCAGCATAGGCCTGTCTTGGAAGGACCATTTAAGTCAGTGAGGGATAGTTCGTGTTTTGATTTGTTGGAGGCAGAGTTTTCTAAGGCAGAGGTTTAGGCTGCTATAAAGGGTTGTGATAGGAATAGGGCTCCAGGTCCAGATGGGTTTAACTTGGCTTGCATTCAGAAACTGTGGAAGGTAATGAAGTCCGATGTGCTGAATTTTTTGTCTGAATTTCATAAGAACTGTAAGTTGGCTAAATGTATTAACAGCTCTTTCATCACTTTGGTACCTAAAAAGGAGAATCCAGTGGGGTTGGCTGACTATAGACCTATCAATTTGGTTGGGTCGATGTATAAAATTCTTACTAAGGTTCTGTCCTCAAGGCTGAAGGCAGTGATTCCCCAGATTGTGAGTGAAAACCAATCAGCTTTTATTGAAGGAAGGAACATTCTGGATGGTGTTTTGGTGGCCAATGAGGTTGTTGACAGTTGAAAGAAGTCCATAAAGAAAGGTTTGATCATTAAGCTAGATTTTGAGAAAGCTTATGACTCACTGAACTGGGAGTTCCTACTCTCCATGTTGGTCAAGTTTGGGTTTGGGGGAAAATTGGTGGAGTGGATTAAGGTATGTATTACCTTAGCTAGGCTATCTATGCTTGGTAATGGCTCTCCTACTAAGGAGTTCATTCCACAGAGAGGGCTAAGACAAGGAGATTCCTTGTCCCTTTTTCTGTTCATCATAGCTGCAGAGCGTTTAAGCATTTTGATGAATAGAGCTTTGGATCTGGGGCTGATTAAGGGGTTGAAGATTGGCTCTGATGGTTTAGTTCTTACTCACCTTCAGTTTGTAGATGATTCTCTGGTATTACGTGAAGTTGATGCAATGGAGGTAAGAAATGTTAAGAAGCTACTGAGGTGCTTTGAGATAATATTAGGCCTGAATATAAACTATCATAAAAGTGTAATATGTGGTGTGGGTATTTCGGCTAAGGAAATGGATGAGTATGCATCAGTGTTGAACTGTGCAGTTAAATATTTGCCTTTTCAGTACCTCAGTTTAGCGCTGGGGACAAACCCAAGTAGGAAAACAACTTGGCGGCCTATATTAGACAAATTCAGAAGTAAACTAGATGGTTGGAAAAGGAAACTTTTGTCATTTGCTGGGCGACTTATTTTAATCAAATCTGTCCTTTCCTCGCTGCCTCTTTATTACCTGTCATTGTTTAAGTTGCCTCAGGAGATTGCCAGAGATTTGGACAAGCTCCAAGCTTCTTTTCTGTGGGGAGGTTCTGATTTGAAGAGGAGGGTTCATTTAGCAAAATGGAAGGAAGTGGCTAAACCTATAGACCAAGGGGGCTTGGCGGTTAGGAGAGTAAAGGAGGTTAACAAATGCCTTTTGTTAAAATGGTGGTGGAGGTTTGGTGTGGAAAATAAAGCTTTGTGGATGAGAGTTTTTAGTAGTAAATATAGGATTGAGGAGGGGAATTAGAGCCCTCAGGTAAGCTCTAATGTCAGGTGCTCTAAAATGTGGAAGGATATACTAGTACAGTCTGAACAGAGTAGCAATCTGGTGGGTATTTTTCTGGACAACTGTAAGGTGAAAGTGGGTAATGGTAATAGACCTAAGTTTTGGATGGATAAGTGGTGTGAAAACTTGTGCCTTAAAGATGTTTTCCCACTGTTGTACAGGGTGGTAGCTGATAAGAAAGTAACCCTATCTGCTATGATGGTCAGGAAGGAGGAAGCTGGTGAGTGGGTATTTTAGTTTCGAAGGGCTCTGTTCGACTGGGAAAGAGAGGAGGTAATCAGATTGGTAAATCAGATTGAGGCATGTCCTGTTATTAGGTGTCATTCAGAAGATTCTCTTGTTCAGAAAGCTTCAGAATCTGGGAGCTATTCAGTTCAATCTATGTATAAATACTTGGTTGATGGTTTTAGTAACTTCAGCCCAATAAGCAAGAGGATTTGGGTAAAACATGTTCCACCTAGAGTTCAATTCTTTGGATGGCTCGCTTGGAAAGGAAAGCTAAAGACGGCTGAGTTTGTTCACAGGATTGGTGTTCTGCCTGCTAGTTCATCTGTAGTATGCTGCCTATGCAAATCTGGGGAGGAGTCACTTGTCCATGTGCTTCTATTATGCCCAGTGGCTTGGAGAGTGTGGTATAAAATGCTTAGATGGTGGAAGGTACAAGGAGCTCTGCCAGCTTCAGTGGAGACCATTCTTGAATGGTGGTCAGGGATGGGTTTTAGCAAAAAGGAAAGGATGTTGTGGAATGCCCTCCCCTTAGTTATAATGTGGTCCTTATGGAATCATCGTAATGAATGCTTGTTTTGGGATATTGTCCCAAGTGTGGATGGGATAACGGGTCTGATTAAGTTAAAAATGGCTGTGTGGTTTAAGGAAGTATTCAAGGAACATATGTTTTCAGTTCATGATTTCATGTTTAATTTAGAGCGCATCAGATTCATCTTGGGAGGTGGCAAAAGTGTATAAAGTTATGTGGAGGCCTATGCATTGTACCATTTCTTCTGCTGGTTAGTGGCCTGAGCAGTGGATGTGTGTCTGGGGTATAGATGGTGTTTAGAGATGGAGGAGCTGCTATACTTGGTTTGGTTCTTAAGCTTTGATTATGCTGTTATGTTAGAGTTTGTTCTTTGGTTCTTTAACTTCTGCTGGCTGTAATTTGGAGTGTTATGGTGGTATGCTGCTAGGCTGCTCCCGTGTGGTTTTGCTGTTGATGCTAAGCTATAATGCTCTATCGGATTTTCTACAGTATGCTTTTTCTTGTGTGTGCTGGAACTATGCATCTGTTTTGCAGTTAGAATGTGTGTTGTAACCTGTTCTGCAATTTAGCTCTCAAATCTAGTGTTGGTTGGGTTGAGGACTGTTGTATTGAGCTTCAATAAGTCTAATGGCACTTTCGAAGTTAGTTCCAGTTATAGCAACCAATTGTTACATTTAGTTCTGCATAATATTTCCTCAGTTGCCTTTTCAGTCCTCTGCTATTTGGGTGCTCCATTCAGTCTGGTGCTTCCTTAGAGTTGTTTTGCTATTAGACCTGATTGCTGATTGATCTCAGTGATGTTTCTGCTGTTCTGAGGTTTGGTGATGAAGGGTTGGTTATCGTTCATATTTTGGTGTATTTTGCCACCTAGTTGGTGTTTTTTTGGTTTTCTTGGGTTTTTCCTTGGCTTGCCTTGCTTGTTGGTTTCTCACCAACTAGGAGGTTCGAGCTTCTTCTAGCTTCAAGCTCCTCTTTATTGATGTATTTCAGTTGTTTTCGTCAATAAAGTTTTCTTTGCCGATAAAAAAAAAAAAAAAAATGTTTCACCATTTTTCATTTTAGTAGTTTCATTTTTTCACTTAGGCCCTTAACATTTCAAACTTTTTCCAATTTGCTTCAATAGCTAACATCTTTCAAAAAATACCATGTTGGTAGCCATGTGACAAAGTAACTCATTATTGAATAAATTACACTATACCCCTTCAAGTCTTAGTAATTTCTTATTTAGCCCTTTAAGTTTTTGTTTCCCGTTTTGGTGTCACGCCCCGATTTTCAAAATTTTAATTAGTCAAAGACTAATTAACTTAAGCATGATCTTTAAATAGATAATATCTCTTTCAACCATATTCCTTCTAGAAATCACTTTACTCGTATGGGTCTTAGACTCAAATTAGGTTTTTGAGAACATTTTTTTATATTTTTATAATTTTTTTTAGATCCATGAAATTTAGATGTACCTAAAAAGTAATATATTTGTGAAGAAGCCTAAAAATAATTCACTAAATTTGTATTTTTTTTTAAAATTTCTTCATAGATATTTTATTTGTTAAGTATATCTAGAATTTTCCATATAGAATAGGTATATTTAAAAAGTACAAAAAAAAATAAAATTAATTAAACTATTAAAAAAATCAATAAATATTCAAAAGCAATTTTCAAAATGTAAATCAAACAAAATGAATAAAATGGACACAAATAAATAATTTAAATGCATTTGTGATATTGTAATAAATAACACTAAATAATTTTTGCTAACTAGAGTGGGTAGCCCTTATGAGGTGGCTTGCTTTAATCTATGGGTCTCATCATTGGCTTGGGCCATTTTTCTAATTTTATTCTCACTCTCCTTCACATCCTCTCCATTATTTCACACACCCTTTATTATTATATGTTTGTAAAATGTTACCTCATAAATAATAATATTCTTTAAACATATAACCTATGTCATTATTAACCATACCAGTTCCACAATATTTTGTTTTAAAATATTTGCCCTTTTGTTGCACCACTCTCTTTTCTCATTAATATATATTTTTTTAGTTGTTTATACATGGTTATGATAGCAATATTACATATCCAAAAGCAATATTCAACAACATTTAAAAATTTGTGAATCAAATTTATTCTAAATCTAATTAATTCTAATTAGCAAAACATCAAATAACATGGAACAAAAAATTCAACTAAATTAAAAAATGGATCAACAGAGAGGAGGGAATGGCGGTTGGATCCTGATTGTGCATCAACGGAGAGGAGGCGCTTCTCGGAGCAACGAAGTTAGGAATAGCCTATTTACTGTATTTGTGGATAATCTCCCAGGTTCTATGGATGCAAAATCTCAGTTCAAACTTTTTACAAAGTTCGGCATAGTAAAAGATGTCTTCATCCCTTTCAAAAGAAGGAAAATGACAAACTCTAGATTTGGGTTTGTGCGGTTTGACTGTCATGTAGCATCAGATATTGCAGTCCAGAAAGCTAATGGACTTTTGGTAGATGACAGAGTACTCAAAGTCAAGCATGCCACCTATGTCAGGCGCACCATGGATGCGCACAGCAGAGGAAGGCCCCAACCCGTCCGAGGTGTTGCTGAAGCACTCAGAAGAAAGGGTAAAATACCTTTTGTTGGTCATAGATCTTATGCGAAGGTTCTACAAGGCGCTCCAACCAATACAGCTGGGTCAGCGAGCTTAACCATCAATATTAATGAAGGTGGTCATGGTTGGCTATATGAAAGTGTAATTATCCGACTCAATTCGGAATACTCCATTAGGAGCATTAGAGATGTTCTGAAGAGGAATGGGTTAACTCAAGTTGTGGTCAGAGAGGGAGG